ACAAATATCTTATCATAAAAGTACATTGCTAAAAGTTAAAGTCTTCTCTAAAATATTACTTGAGTAAAAGTCTTAAAGTATCTGATATTTTTAAGTATCAAAAGTAAATTTCTGACACGAAATCTACTTAAGTATTAAAAGTAAAAGTGAGCAGTTAGATTTTCCAAAATGACATTTATTGGGAGGTGACTTCTCCAAAAACATTTTTTTCTTACGGCTTACAGCTGTGATGGGTTGTGTACAAAGTAATAGTGTGTCAGAATGGTATATATTTATACTTCTCATCCAACCACAATTAAATTCCCTCTATCCAGGAGACACAATTTATCAGGAATAAAATGGGAGTAACAACTTTCTATTTCTTACCTTTTTAAAAAATGTAGTGAGTAGAAAGTACAGATAACTGTGTAAAAATGTCATGAGTAAAAGTAAAAGGGACATTGAAAAGTAATTACTCAAGTAAAATACAGATAACCAAAATTTCTACTTAAGTACAGTAACAAAGTATTTGTACTTAGTTACTTTACAACTCTGGCTCAATTTAACTGAAGTAAAACTCGTTATATTTTGCACTGTATGGGTTATGAAGTCTTGATTGTTTTATTGAGAATCCACAGGTGGTAYACAGTAAGAAAATGCAAAGAAAAGTTGAAACATGAAATTAAAAAGAGGATATTGAAACTAGTCTTACAAYCAGCACACAACTAAATATATTTTCCAACACCTGCTAACTTTCACAGCTAAAATGTTTTTTTTTTCACTTTGCGTGTTGGTTTCAGTTTCCATCTGAAAGCTGTGTTCAGCTCTGCCTTGTGGTCTTTGATGTTTTGACTTCTGTTGCTAAGAACAGTTTTATTTACTGCAGTGATGCAGCAGAAGGTTTATCAGACAAAACCTCTTGTTCTGTTTCAGATGTAGGCTGTAGTTTCACTCTTAAGTCAGTTGTAAATGTGAAATAAAATAATTGTTTTACTTGTTTTTCAGTGACCTTTTCTACTTTAAGCTTTTATCTAGCTTTTAGATAAATTATCCCTTTGATATTTTGAGTTTCTAGTTAGAGTTTTTCTACTTTTATCCAGCTTTTTGTTACTTTTCGCTTCCAAAAAACATTTAGCTCTCCTTTTGCCACTTAGCTTATATTTAGCCACTTTTAGCTCAGATTTTGCCACTTTAATTTTTAGTTAGCATTTTGCTTATTTAGCATTTAGCTATTCGTATTTAACTAGTGCTCTGCTTTATTTAGCTGTAACAACTCAATTTCTGCTTTCTGATGGTCATTCAGCATTTACACTGACTTTTAGTAAATAAAATGAAACAGTTTTGCTGTTTTTTTTTYCTAAAGTTTCCTAAGTTTCATTCAAACATGTGATCAGCAGCTCACATGATCACTGCCTGCTTCTTCACGAGTTTCTGTTTTTGTTTCATAACATTCATCTTTCATCCTCTTTTCACATATTAACGCAGCCTGTGGACAGGATGTCGGTCCTCCTCCCTCCACTGTCCACTCACGTCCCCCTCTGCCGATCGCTCCTCGTCCCTCCCCCCGTCGCTCCCGACATCCTTTCTCTGCTGGTTCTGTCCAGCCGGAGACCCAGTCCTCCCTTGGCCCCTCCCCGCAGCCATCTCCCCGGTCCAAGCATAAAAAACTAGCCAGCTCTGCTCTCCCTGACTCTGCTGAGTCCGACTCGAACCCTCCAAGAACGCAGGTCACAGCAGAAGCCCCTCCAGTCCAGAGTGCCCCCTCCATCCCTCCTGTCTCTGATGTCCCTCGTCCTCCATCTCCAAAATCCTCCAAACCCGTTTCTTCTTCACMGTCAGCCTTATTAGAGTCAACAGTCCCCTCCGTTCCCTTTAATTCTCCTCTTGATGGTCCTGCAACATCAGATTTACTCAAACTCCCACCCCCTTCATCATCACCATCATCATCATCACTTGAAACTACAACATCTTCCTCCATCGGCCCCCAAAAGCTCTCTGTGATTGTATCCACCACTCTGACACATAAGCCCATCTCCATCCCCTCCCAGTCTCTTCCTCTTAAGACCCTCTCCCCACAAAACCCCACTCTGTCATCTGAGCCTCAGTCTGCTCAGCCCCCTCTCACCTGGACCACCTCTCAGCCCCCATCTCTGCCCAAAATCTTCCAGACAGGCTCAGGAAAAGGTACTAAAAGAAGGCGGAGCCACAGGCATGCTGCATGCTTTAATGACTGCAGATGTGTGGTACCGTGTGTTTTTGTGAATAGAGGTGTGTTATTTGCAGCAATCACACACGTGTGATTATATTTGAGTCAAATATATGTCTCATATATTTGAGTTGAACATCCCAATGTTTGGTCAGTGCTGCTGTACCTCGGCAAAAAAAACATACAGTATTTGTGGCCAGTTATATCTAACCAGTGAGATCAGAAGTCCAGAAAGCTGTGGAACAATGGATGATGGTTTAAACAATTTAAAACTCACCACCGAGCTTAACGATACAAAGTTTAAACTCAGCTTGGTCACTCACCAGCTCAGTGTTCTTATTGTACATGTCATCCAGCTGCAACACAAAACCCAAACGCTGTTAGTCAGATCTGCTGTTGATCTCATGCAAATTGCTTTTAAAAAGTAGAAACAACTGTCAAAAAGATGTCCTGATGCATCTCAGTAATCCAGGTAGAAAAAAAAAATAGGTCCTCTGGATGGGTTCTTCTTTAGTGAAATATTTCGTCTCTCCTCCAAGAGATTTCTTAAGTCTGAAGAGTTTCAATTGGAACTCAGCCTTATAAGCACTGCCTCCACATGAACAAACAGGTTAGTCACATGCAAAACAGGGTCGTCCTTAACAATAGGCTTGATTAGCTCTATTGTTCATAAAGGGTCATGTACCCCATCACCTGACCCGTGTCGTGTTACGTGTATGTAGTGAATGCAGGCGGGGCTCGACGTCCACTTGTTTTTGTCTCTTTCCCTCTTTGTGTTGGTATCATTGGGGCCCTGATTCACACCTTTTGCTCACAGGGGGCGGAGTCATACTTGCAATAACAGCATTGTAGGAGGAGGACAACTGGACACGGAGGCCTCCACCTCTGTTTAATGATGGATGGTTTTTCTTCACAAAGATGGCTTCCTTAACTCCTCTCTCAAACTGATGTGTCTTTCTATCAAGGATGAGAACATCTTCATCCCTGAAAGAGTGACCGCTGGCCTGTAGATGAGTGTAAACTGCAGAGTCCTGACCTGTAGATGAGTGTAAACTGCAGAGTCCTGACCCGACGAAGTAGCTCGTCTGTGCTGGCT